AAGGCTTTATGGTGCACAAATTTTAACTATTATTTTACAATAATCAATAAGAGTACTATTATACAAAAAAATCAAACCATTTTTTTTATCATTGTAATTATTTTTTATTCTTCTATTAGGCAAATATTACATAGACCTATCATATCATCAAGTGCTTCAACATAATCGCAAGGTTATCCATCACAATTCTCTCCAACTCTAGATAGTGATACTTTCAAATTTAATGTGTATGTAAATAATATAGATGTTTATAAATATTAAGAATTCTAGAGATTTTGAGCAACGCATTTTTTATTGAGTGGATATATATATAGTAGACTATGTATATATGACATTTGTTTTAGCCTATTGGTTGATGATTTACATTTCTTAATGCAGTAATTGATAATAATCACATATTGAATTGAAACTAAATAAAGTTGTTGACTTTTGGACCTCAAATGTATTTTTATTTCTTTTACAACTTGAAACATGTCTTTCTATTTTAATTTATCCATTTGTGTATCTTCTATTTTTAAACTTATCATTGTAAATTATAATAAATAAATTAAATTAATAAAATTAAATGTAAATATTTGTATTTTGAATATTTAAATAATAATAATAATTTTTGAAATTTTTGATTAATATATTTACTTATGAGTAAATCACTTTAAGCTTATAAAAAAATAACGATCTAAAGATCAACAACAAAAATATTTAAAATTTTTGTATCTATCACAATACAAAGATTTTATTTTGATTTGAATATACAGACGGTTCAACTCAATGATATGTGATGTTACATATGCAATTATAAATAAAAATACTATTTAAGTAAATTAATTGAAAGATCTTAAGATTAGTTTATTTGTTAATTTCATAAATTTAAAAAATTCAAACATTATTTAAAAGGATGTTTATAGAAAATTTCCGTTAACATTATCTATAAAATTAAAAATATGGGATACGGTCTAGCAATATCATCTATTTTCCTTCATGAATAAAATGTTATTCAAATCTAGCATGAAAAAACATCTCAAGTTGTGTAATGTAGCTATAAGTAGCTACAAACTAATATTCAAATGATGACTTAAGGTAGCTACTTGGCAGCCGTTTAAAAATGTTTAAATTTTATTTGAATTTTTTTTATCATTAAAAAATACTTCATAAATGATTCCGCTGAGGCAAGAGGTGCAACAAGGAGTAAGTAGTATCCTATCTCGAAAACACCAGTTCATCACCTCATCCTTCATTTATATAAGTCATTTATCTTCATTCAACACTTATGAAAGTTGCTTGTCTCTTTACATAACAAGAAAACCCAATTGACTAAAGCGCATTCAACTTCATCCAGGACTTTCTACATTTTTCTGCTAAAACAAATTTTTTAATCTATCGGAAGGTCTAAGAGCTCAAGTTTACAAACGCCTTTTCTTTTCTTTACCAACAAATACGTTATCTCTTGGTGTTTTTTTAATGGTTTGATAGATTCACAAGATGCAGCTAAAGTCAATGTCGATACCATGCTGAATGAATGACAAGGAGGAATCTCACCCTGTGGGGGTAATTCATGGAGAGTTGACCTGGTCCTCTAGCTTGCTAAGTGCTAGGTTTCCTCTCTTCATACAGTAAATTCTCGTAATATTAATATTCTGGTATGAAACTATTCATATATGAGTTATCAACGAGTTTCATCTAGTTTTCGGATTTCTCCTTTCGTGAATGCGAAAATTTATATTTTTTTTCATTCCGAGGTCGAGGAATTGTATTGTCCGAAGGTAAGAAAGGGCAATAGGAACATGTTTTCTTTTAAGTTCTGAGACTAGAAGCAAGCTATTCCCTCGTCCATGGACGTCATTCAAAGAATACTGAATGATCAAAAGAAAAAGACCTTGGCATATATGCCGAGGTCTTTTTCACGGCAGGGTGCACACTTTTACTTTTTATGTTTAGGGTCGACCAAAGCGAGACACTCGACCAAAGGGAGAGGGAAAATTGGTGAAAATAATTTGAAATCATTTTGCTAGTAAAGTTTGTAAAGTAATTGAGACCAAATTAGGATAAAAAATAAAAAACAAAAGGAAATATCTCTTTAATAAGATAACATGAAACCATTCTGTTTCAATAGAGGTACAAAATACGATTAAGGGCAATCAAGTGGGTAAGGTTGTAAATAACTTAAATTTCCTATAAAGGCTTAGTTCCGATGAAGAGTGAACTGAAACTCGAAGATGTCATTGTGAGAATCCGGTTCAGTATGCCCCCAATCACTTCGTGCGTCATGCTTAGCAATGTTTTGCTTGCTCTTGAGATTGGATCAGAAAGCCGAACTATAAAAAGTGCGCTGATTGCACTACACTTTCTTTCTTCAGCGGATCATTTTTCCCCGGGTCTAACGCATACCTCATTAAAAGTGGCATTTGACACTTTTGCCACCTTTTCGTTAATTGTGGCACCCAAAATTTATTAAAAGTGGCATTTGTGGCATTTGAATTAAAAAACTTATGTGGCAATCTTGAAACCATAAGAGATTGTGATTATTTCACGAGAAATGCAGACAGGGTTGTTTCTCCGTTGTGGCTAACTTAGGTTCCGCGCTCATATTATGTTCAAGGCACAACTGTAGCCATGGAAACCAAACAAGAATTTAGAGGAGTCCATGAACAGGTCACATGATTATTCACCGTGAGTATACTCAAAGCAAAGAGAGCTAGTCCTTTGAGAAGAAATGAAATCAAGGTTCTTGATACTAACCATGAGAATATTAGACTGCAACTGAATAATTCCAAAATCCACGAGACGTGAATTGTATTCCTCCTCCAAACCTAGGTTGAAGATGAGTAATATCAACTGTCTTCGATCCTAGGACGGGAGAGAAACTTGAGTTTTAGAAAACTTTCAAGTTGTATCTTTTCTTTCCAAAATTACATCCATTGGATGATCATGCATTATTTTGATTTCTGTTCACAATCTGCTCAAAACACAAATACAAGGATTCTCTTTCCAATCACTTACTGATTGCAATGCGGTCTATTGCTTGCTTGGGACAATAACATTCATCCGTTGTCAGGCGAGCACTTTGTAAAGTTTAGGTAGTGCTTGCGAACTCTTGAAAAATTACACGTTAAAGTTCAATTGCAACCAAAGAGAAGCCTAATTGTGACATAGACCCAATTCTAATTGTTGCAAAGTTGGCATTTTTTACTAAAATGCAACTTTTAATGAGGTCTGGTCTAACGTCTCCGTTGCCTGGTCCGACCTGTCGACTGCTTCTTTCACATTTTCATGAATCAGGTACAACCAGATTGCACACAACACTCGCTCCGAGCCAAGTCGACGTAAATATGTGAGTCAACAAACCATCGGGAGAACGAAAACTGAGATAATCGAAAATTGGCCCATACAGGTCTCGAACCTGTGACCTTCGCGTTACGTAAACATGTGAGTCAACAAACCATCGGGAGAACGAAAACTGAGACAATCGAAAATTGGCCCATACAGGTCTCGAACCTGTGACCTTCGCGTTATTAGCACGACGCTCTAACCAACTGAGCTAATGGGCCATTCCTGATTCAGTCGTCAGTCAAGTAAATATTATACAATATATTCTCTGAATTTAGGAACACATGTAAGCTTTTTGTGGTGACAGAAACGTGGTTCTCTAGACTAAACAGATGAAGCTTTGGATTAACATGAAACTCTGGAGAGTAATTCACACATAGGTCTTGAAGAGTACAACGACATACCATGTAGGCAGAAGTGATATCAATATCTCGAATTTGTTCTACTGTCTATTTTAAACCTGACTGATGGAATCTATATGCTACCGATCAGGTTTGATGACGTTGCTTCATTTACTGCTATTGTTGTACGAAGAAAATCTGAGCCAAATAGCTGTTAAGAAGTAGGCCATATTTACAATTGTGATGTTATTGGTTCACAGCCCTATGCTACACATTTGTTTTCATTGTTGTAGGCCTGATGGGGTCTTTAGTAAATAAAGTGTAAAGACTCTTTACACTTTATTTGTCATTCTACTCCTTACTTGGAGCGTGAATTAACCAGAAGTTTGAACATGAACCAGTTGCAGTAGTTGTCAAGAGGAACTGGAAGTAAATGGGTGCTCAAGGCCCGCAATTTCACTGTGGTAGCCAGACGAAGGAGCCTTTTTCTCCTCCATATGTACGTACCAGTCTAATGATTGTAGCCCATGGCCTAAGTATTGGTTTTGGAACACACACAGTTTCACTCATGAAGAAATCCACTTATCCTCATATCCAAAGGGTCAAGCGAAACAGGTTTACAGCTGAAAGCGAGAAAGAATGAAGGTGAATATTCACTGTGATCCTCAGGCGGCCATTGATCTCGTCCACGCTTGACAACTGGCCTCGTTGCAATTCTAAACCAGCTTCTTATTGAGAAGTCGGCTGTGCCAAAATTCCAACAGAAGGCCTATATGGTGCAGAATCCAAGACGCATTTGGATCAACGTACTATTTTATGCACAGCTGTTGGGAACGTACCGACAAACAAGTGAAGAGTCATAATACATCCAATGTCATCAAGTTCAGGCCCCAACTGTGAGTCCAGTAGCAGCAAGAGGTAGATCTAGACATATGACTTTCTCATTTGTTTGATCTCCGTTCGTACGTTCGTTCCTTCATTTATACTTGAGCGTACGTTCAGAAGCATCACTTAAGGCCTCGCTTCTTGCGTTCTGGTACCCCAAAAAAGAACGTGAATTTCAGTCTCTGGAATTTTATATTCCTTGATTATGTTTGTCCGTCACATGCAGTTCTTCGTCAGAGGTTGAATTCCGGCATAGATTAAACATTACCACATCACCAAGCTCTCCACTCAGGGGCTCTCATCTGAGATGTTGCGAACCCATGGAGTCAAAGTGGCTGCCAATGTAAAGCAAAGGGTCCCTAGCTATGACAGATTTTGTGCTAGGTGCCCTCCGGCGCCATATATTTGTGTCCCATTTAGTGTACCATACACTTCCCTTTTTTGGGTTTGCTGCAACTGGAAGTCTGGTTACATGCTACCCGTAGAATCGATACTGCTATTGGAAATCGTCACTATTTTGGCATCGGCGTTTGATTTTACAAACAATATCAAGCATCTTTTAAAGACAGTGAGTGGTCGGTCAATCATAAGCTTATAAAATATTTTGTGGCATGCAAGCAGCCATTCGAAATCTCAAAATCGACTCCTGCTCTACTTTTGTACGTGCGCATCCATCCGACAGATGGGGTTCCCAAAATAAGTTTACGGTTGCTGTCAGATCGCGCTAGTCATCTGACGAGGCTGGTCTAACTTTGGAAGCCAGCTGCAATGCAGTCGCAAGCTTCGAGTGTTTTCTCCGCTAGAGGATTCTCTGGGCGATAAATCCGAAAAGCTTAAGGATCGATCGGAATCTCTGCAAAGCCAGAGGGTTCCAGTCGTATCGTGTGACTGCGAGACTCAGCAGAAAGCCGAACCCAAAATAATAATCTACTGCTCCTCTGAGCAGCATCTGATACGGTACAACTGATTCGATAGGCGAGAACCGAGACTGTGATAATGGATTGAACATCGTTGGAAGAATGCGTCTCTTCATAGTCGAATCGACACGGGGCATGTTGACCTGGGGTTGACCGAACGATTTCGGAAGTTGACGACGCCAGAGCCCGAGGCATTGGAGCAGGAGCAGGAGCAGGTGCCGTCACAACCAAGAGGAAGTGACAGGCTCGCGGCTCGCCACCATGGCTGCTTCTATTCCACGCGAACCGGCTCTCACCTACTGCGAATACAAGCACGAGGCAAAGAAGGTGGCCAGGACTAATGACCCGCCTGTTATAAACAATCCCTGCCTCTGCAGTTGTATGAGTTGTGGAACTTTCAAAAACCGAGACAAAACTCCCTTGAGAAAACGCGATAATCCTCAGTACTACACGGCCACTCGTAACGTCGGGTTCCCCGGATCGAATTTGCCTCGAGTCGTCGTCTTTTGTCCTCTTCACGATGGTGTAGACGAGAAATTTCTCGGAGGTTCGTTCGATTTCTGACTCGACCTCATTGCATCAAACCGAAGTCCCTTAGTCTTGCTAGTTTCTCGATCGATCCACAACATCCCAAAAGCTCCCGAGACACATTCATCGGTCGTGCTTTCGAATCTTTGGAAGTCAGAGCCCAGGCCATGCACACGATCCTGCTCACTTTTAGTTACAGACAGAGTTTGGACCCCGTCTGGTAGTGCTCAGTTGGAAGCGCACGCACGCTCATTTCTTGCAAGCTTGTAATGCCTAAGCAAACTCAACGACCTGGTCCTGGTGCTGATGGCTCCTGCTTTCTCCTGCTTCGATTCTAACTGCTGTTATACAGAGCCTAAGCTCATATTCTGACGTCACACTTGATTCTCCTGGGGCCGCTTGGGCTCTCGTTGTGTCTGCTCTAGTCGGATTTTCTACACTCTCGAGTCATAAGATATAGATTTTAAGATCAAAAGCGGTTGAAATCTAGACGGACTAATTAAATCGAACGCTATCGCGTGATCTTTGGAATTGCTCGATGAATTGAACAATTTGAACAGGCTGGAAGTCGAAATTGGGAACGCAGTCTTGTGGGTATGGGCACTGCAGGCAGTCGCAATGTACAGAGGGAATCGCAGTCACGGCTGTGACGTTTCATCCGAACCCGGCCGCGACGATTAGATCCCCGAAAGGAGGTGGAAGCATTCGGCCTGAGCCTCTGTGTCCGCGGCCCACTTGTGAATGCACCAGGGTCTCGAACAAGGGAATAGGACCTCCGAGATTCGGCGACGTTAAGTTGATTAAAGGATCGCCGCTGATCAAGGGCTCTGCCTGGACCAATTTGTACAGAAGTGACCCCGTCACGGATCACCAGGACTTGGACCTTCGCCGAGAACCTATGGCCCCCAACACCACATCTCTGTATACTTGCAAAAAGTACATCGCCCAGCAGTGCAACAGATAAAGCAGATGCGCTAGCACTAGCCATGAAGTCAGCAGAGCCGTAAATCTCTTAATGAATCTCAGTGTTGCGTCCACGATAAGCAGGGGCGGTGAGAGCACAGTGTCTCGAACGCAGGAACAGCCTGCGTTCCTCGGATTTATGACATAGTACTGAGTGCTAATCGAGTTTGCGGAGCATTAATGCATTTCCACATGAATTCTTCTGTCTTGGGAGAGAGAGAGAGAGAGATCGAAGCGATTCTCTGAAAGCACACAGAACTGCCCCGTGACAAAAGTACGAGTCTAATCCTCAACTCTGTAGCTCAATCACTAAAGATTCAGCTCAGGTCTCTCTAGAAGGTTTTTTGAGTGATACGTGATATGGTGCATTAGATCTACGCAGCAGTTTATTTTCCGCTTGACAATGTGGCCAAGTTCTTGATTCCTAAATTGATCCTGAGCATAATCTTCCGGAAGCCCTTTGAGGCAGAGCACTACACTTCGCGTACGTAGCCATCGATGGACAATCTAGAACACAATGATTCCACATAGAAGGGAGCACAAGCACAAGCACAAGACAAAAGCTGATGAGGGCAACCACAATAGGGACATTTTTATGCTGACAGTTTGCCACGAGCAAGCAGTCGTCGGTGCTCAATTCAGTCCACAAGGAGAGCTTATTACTGAACTAGAACTAATAAATTACGTGTGTTAATGCATTGCGTGTTTTGTATTCTTCTTTTGAGCAAAAGAAACTACGAAAGTCAGTAGCCAAAGGCATTCTCTGTCAAATGGGTGATAGGTTTTAGACATTCAACTCTAATGTACAGAATGAAACTAAAGGTTTGGAGCTTGAGGTTTCTTTTTTTATAAATAAAGTACCATAACAAATCTCTGTCCATTTTCTCAGTTATTAATGATACAGGGTTTTCTTTGCTACCTAATTCCAGTCTCTGCGAACCTAAACGATAAACGTTCCATAAGAGAGGGTCAGGCTAAGTTGTATTAACAACTGATATGCAATTACATTTCATGATTCTCATGGTGACAAACGATAACATAAAATTCACAGTGAAACTCTTTTTCTCCAAAATTTTCTTATCCACTAGTTTATGTTTTCTCCAAACGAAGAAACCAGGAGTTCTTTCATCTTATTGAAAATAATCCATAAATTATTTTCCACATGGGTGTAAAAGGTAGGTAGAAAGTAGAAACACGTGATACAATCCTAAACTTTCAAATCATACATTTCTCATCAAAACATCTGACAATATACCGGAAAGGGTGCCCAGTAAAGAGGAAAGAGGTGGGAAAGAGCCCATCAAGCCGTACAGGGATGAAACCAAACGGGGACAACTCAGGGATGGATGCATGAGAGTTACAGAAGGTCCAGAATTGACTAGAATAGGATCTGCCTAAGGCTTCAAGGCGAAAAAGTAAGCATGCAATGCTTTGGTTCCCATCCAGCAGAACAGCTGGTGGGGTTTGTTTGGTTTCTCTTGAATTTGAAAGTCAATGATTCTACTTTACTCTACTTTGATTGATGTATGTTGTTTCTTACTTGGTCACCGGCCTTTTCCTCGCCATCTCACACACCGCAGATCAGATAATCTAATTTGGGCTCTACACCGGCTGCATGAGTTCATGCATCTGGTGACTGGGGTCCCAAAACCTGGTCATAATGCTTCAGTGTAAAGACTAGAAAAAATTGTGACGCTGGTGAAATTGAACAAGATCATAGTAAAGATCAATGAAGTAAGAAAAGGATACATATATCTAAGGTTCGAAAGGAGCGAACAGGTGTGAATGCAACAGTTTCAGACATTCTGTTGCTTCTGTTATTCATGACAATATTTTATCATTAGACATCACATATCATGTCAGGAGGTAGATTACTGATCCTGGACGACCTTCCATCAACCTCACTTCATAGCACACCAACCAATCGCACAGGCACTGTATCTCGCCACTCCCGTCAGCGAAGAACCTAACGACAACAAGTTCAGTGAGACAAAGACAATGAGCGATAATCTTCATGTTGGTCAGGTATCAGGTTGGTCATTTCATGGATGAATGGTGTACACAAAAAGATTAAAACACCAAAAAACGGCGTTACTTCAAGAGAGCATCAAATTATCCTGATTGAACAGAACCAGTGGAGAAGGCATGCGTCACTGACTTCAATGCTCGAAAATCAAAACGACTGCTATCAGGTGACCTCTAGAGCAATATCAATTCTTGAACTCAAACCTAAGGATACTGACGGCCTAAATCTTCCCATACTTGGACTACCATGTCCTTGAGATCTGTTACATAGACCTACGGATTTCCTACGATAACGCCCAAAATCTTCCTTCATGGAAGCGACAGAGCAACTCCGGGCGGGGTTCCTGGCACTTGTCATAGAACTCATTTACTGTAAGCGAAGGCTGAATGGAGCTTCCCTCAGCGAGACTGTGTATCCATGCAGTAAGATCATATAAGTTGGAAACGATAAGCAAAGAAAAGGAATGAAGGAAAATGAACAACACGTAACATCTATTTCCTCGGCTTGATGTTTGCAGACCCACAAATGATATCTCGTACTCCTGTCTCACTGCAAACATCGCAATTTGTAGTTGTCTTTCAGCTTCAAAATCTGAAGAGACATAAGCTTCGCAGGAACAAAGCATGCAATTCGAGACAAGTTTAAAGCCTGCTGACAGGCATTCCAACTATTTCTTTTTCTGCAGAATATAAATGTACAAATGTGGAAACTTCAATTTCAGCTGAAGAAATCCAACTTCAAAACGTCTGTAAATCTCCTGTTTCACATTTTGATCTCAACTGCACAGAATATCAGGTGCAGGGATCACTTGGCTAGGAGCATCTCCATCTAGCAATAGGAACCAAGGCGCCATTACGTGAGATGGAAAGTAGTACAAGTATTTACAATCTCAAGCTATCGAAGATTGCCCAACGGCTGCCTATCGCACGAGCACGTAGATGGCATAGATGATTCCGGGAATGTAACCCAATATTGTCAGCAGAAGGCAGATCCAGAATTCGATCTGACATCCAAACTTGAGGAAGACTCCCAGGGGAGGCAGAATGATGGCCAGAATAATATCTACGAATGTCATCGCACCCATGTTGTCGCTGCTTGAAGATTCAAACACACCTCCCGATACGCGGACCTAGCAGCCGTAATGTGACTTGTATAAATTCGACCGTTCTTCTCTTCAGATCTTCAGTGTACTCGGTGAGCTCAACTGACTCTGTTTTCCTCTGCTTTCGACTCCTTTCCTCGCTCGCTCATTTATAGAGCCCGTGGCGCCCCCTAGTGCTACTGCACGCGCACACACGACTGGAGCTATAATCCCATAGACCCGTTCCCAACTCCCAGCAGAACAAGCAGGCAGATCATTAGATGGCGCCTCGAGAGAATTTGGATGTGGCGAGAAATGCGAGAATAGGCTTCAGTTACAGTTGACAAGATATTCGTGGACTTCAAACGCACGTTATTGCACCCCTGGTGGATTCGGGCTCCCAGGTCGACAGAGATTTATATCGCTACAGACAGACGAACGTGGAATAACAGCTGTAAAGTGGCATCTGCTATAAAGCTTCGTACCGCAGTCAGAAATGTTGAATACTTTGTTGACGGCATAGCGTTTGAAAGGATAAATTAATACATTTTTTACAGTGCAATTTTGTACGTCAATTTTGTATGTCAACGTGGATGGGACCTGATGAAATTTCAATGTCGGTAATGAAACGCTTCCCGTTCAGAGTACCTTATCATACTCTTTCTGACCAGATATTGGTTCACAGACTCCTGTCATAGAGATTCTAAAGCAAGAACTAGCCGCGAAATATTCCAAGCTTCAGAGTGAAGGTTTTGAAGTGGTTCAAAAGATTGTATTCTCTTCCAATTTTATCCTGCTAGCTTCACTCTACATGCCTACATTTTTTGATTATCATTGGTAGATTAGATCCTCGGGATACGACCGAGACTATCGACAAACCAGCTGTTGTTCTAAGTCATCTCTCTGATTTATTTGAGTCCTTCATCATCCTATTTCGGATAGAGCTTATACCACACCTTGTCTAAGAGAGGTCAGACGCCTCGGCACCCACTGAGTGGACAGTCTGATGTCTTCAGTGCCTTTCGGAGATCTCTATCGTTGCTTTGATACGGATGCCCTCGTCCAATGACGGACATTCAGAGTCACATGCCACTCGCTGGAGAGAGCACCCTGACCAAACGTGCGGTTTGCCTTGTTAGCTTCCAGCTCCAGGGACGCAATGCACCTCATTGGCACTCGAGTCGAAACAATAATTCATGAACAGGAGACCAAAAAGTACATCACAGTGTCGTTGAGTGCTCGATATACTGCAGCTGGAGTCTGCAAGCTGGATAAACATGAGCTAAAGGATAAAAATAATACTCTGACTCAAATCCTGTTATCCACATGATCTCCAATAATTTGTTTATTTATATTCAGTTACATGCGTAAGCACAAAGGCTTGCAAAATGCTAAACGAAAGAAGTGAAAGGGTTTTCCTGAACGCTGGATGCCTAAAGTGATTAACTTAACCCAGAAGAGCAGAGATTAGCGAGGTCTGAGGCCATAAACCCAACTTAGAAGCTTAAACTTTATAGCCATAGTTGCGTAGTGAGCGTTACAAACTGTCCAATTGAAACAAAATGCCCAGCCGACCTGAACGTATCAGAACCGTTAAGGTTTATATTATGTTATGAGAAAGAAAAGAATCAGAGAAGCAATCAGCCAATGGTTTGCGCCGCCGAGCATTGGGATCCGGAAGAATGTGGGGACTCAAGGCTACACACGAGTGTCCTTGACACCAAACCAGAGGTTCCTAGCAAAACACCGAAAGCTGATGGACACGTGTTGCACATGTGAGCAGTGCAGGAAAGCTTCGCAAACAGCGATAGTTCGCTCACGATGATAATCATGGGATGACTACCTTTGTAAGCAGAAGACTATACTGTAGGTGTACTCTCCATGCGTAGTCGGAGTTGTATTCGACACATATTGTCATTTCCAGCACTAATAATTTCGTTCTAAACCTAAATCTCGTATATAATTTAAAGCTTAAGACAGAAAGGCATGTACAGTCTCCGTGAGTAACATAATGATTCACATTCCAAAATGTGTGCTCTTCTAGAAGAACTGCAATAGCCCAGGATGTAGAAACAATGTACCTTCGGATTACATGTTTTCATGGACAGGTACTTATCGAGCCTAGAATTTGAAAGAATTCATGGTATTCCAGTTATAGATAAACTGATAGTGATTATAAGTTACTAGATTTTGATATCTACTTATTTACAGTTCCGGTTGAGACATCGTAAGAGCTTTTTGATAGAAAATTTTCACCTGGTTTTCTCTCGGAGTAATATCAACATTTATTTATGTTTTATCAAAGCTTATCTATAACATCAATATTCATGATAAAAGGAATCAAAGTGAATATATTTAGATAACACAAATTGAAGATTTTTTCTATATGTAAGTTTTTTGATTTTTCGGAATATAATTCATTCGGTGAGGTTACTGAAACTGGGTAAAATGGATACTAAGAAATACCTGTTATAGTTGGAGATGAATATAAATTCCATGATTAAATTTTTTTCTTATGAATCTTTAAAAAATGAAAATTAAGAAGGAGAACTCTATGGTTAAAATTCAAGTTTTGAATCACACAAAGGTGAAAAATTTGGTGTTAAACACAAATCAGTTGATAAGTCATAGGACAGTTTTTTTTATCATTAAATAGATTGCATACTTCATAATCATGACAGTCAAGGAATTGTGTAGGCTACTACACTTATCAGTGTAGTAGCCTACTGTACGAGGTTAAAACTTCATATTTGATTATTTTCAAATTATTTTAGTGTTGGTAATAAATATCTTCATATTATATAAATTTAAGTAATACTTCTAGTTCATGTGCAAATAGATTGTAATAGATGTAAAATAAATTTCATTCCAAATTTTACTAAGTTTGAAAATGTTGTTTTCAATTTCAAATAATTTCACTTTTATATATATTTTTTCTTCTATAATAGTTTTGAAACATGTGACATTAAATTTGAAGTAAGTTTTCAGAAGATGAAAATTTTTATCATATGTAAATAATACATATTATATATCAAACTGAATATTAATTATAGTCAAATTTATTTCTTAATGTACTTAATAAATTTCTTCATATACTTTCACAATGATTTGAATGCATGTGTATTTATGAATATATTTTTTTGTAAATAATTTAACAGTTTATAATATATAACTTCTTCAAATTTTTTTTTATTGTTTAGATTTGATATCATCGTTATAATTGTAGATTTAATATGGGAAAAGCTTTTCATAGATTATCTTTGAATTTGATCATTGTATAAGATTCAGCAAGTTTATAACATATGATATTTAAAAATTGAATTTGTATTCAAAAGAACAGCTGTTTCCGTCCAGGTTCGAACTGGAGACCTTCAGTGTGTTAGACTGACGTGATAACCAACTACACCACGGAAACTTGCTGATGGAGGGACAACATTGTAAACATTTGAACATTTCAAAAGAAGCACAATCATGACATCTCTTATTCTAGCACAAAATTAGTTTTATTCTGATGATATTATTATACTCTATAGATGTTTGAAATGCCAATTTTATTGCAATGAAGTAAATTTCTTTGAAAAAAAAACATAATTTTCTAATTCTCATTAAAATGTAGTTTACTCTTGAAGAGTTTCAAGATTTTTTTTTCTAGAGATTGATCATATTCCACGTCATATGATGTTATTATGTAACACCTGAGTAGAAAAAAATCACTGAATATTGAACACTCAAATCTTGAATACGAGATATATATAGACAAAATTTACTCTTAGTATGTAGATGTTTTCAAATGTTAGAGGGAACAAGGTATTTTATCACCTGTTATCAAATATTTCATGACTCTATGACATGATACATATCACGTTATCAATTCGTGAAATCAAACGTATAGATTTTTGACTTGTAAGTTAGAACCAATATCCTTATAAATTATCTAACTCAGGGATAACTGATATGACGACTATGAATATTTTAGTAAAAATACCTTCGATATCAATTTTCTACATACTGAATTATAATTACTTTAATTTATTATTATAGAGATAAATATACAATCCAATCATGAGCTCTTTATAATTTTCAGAAAATTACAACCATGATAAAACTCAAATTTTTCTTGATATATATATATATATATGTAAATTAAAAATCGAAAAAAAATTAGGTATATATATAGATAAACGTACCTAATTTTCTTTCGATCCTAACAACACATCAAATGATTTTTAAAACTCACAGAAGATTTAACCAATGACATGCAAATGGTTTGTGCATGAGAGTATTTAATCCGGATTGATTTGGGGAAATATAGCGAATATTTTGGAAAATATACCTCAATCCTCTTAAACAGACGCCTCAATACCCGTTCATTGATTCATTCTTATCTTTGTAGTTAACATAAATCTGTCACGAGACCGAGAACTGAGAACTGAACTTCTAGGTTGAGAGATTATGTGAGTACTGAGGTTTTTTATCTCTCAGTCCTCGAGAACAGATGATTGTACTTCTGTTCTTGACGTTGAACGAAAAATACAGCAAACCCCTAACAAGGTCAATATTGAGGCGGAATATGGACCCTCAGGGGTTTGTGACGAGGGGATTCATTTTGACTCTCCAAGCCCTTGGACGAAAGTTGTTACCAAATGTTTAACAAGTCGAACCCATCGTCGAGCTTCATTCTGCACTGTGTCTTTTCTGAATTTGAACTATTTAGCTTTACATCAGACTTCAAATGGCAATCGGACAATTTCTGAGGAGGGAGCTCAATATTCCTCAAACTTGACTTGCTAGATTGGAGCTCATATTACACCACTTGACCTCTTTCAATGACTGTCTTTCACCCTGTCTCGATCGACTCTCGATTCTCACATCTGGGACTTCAACTGTCATGTGTCGCACGACACAACACCTGGAATAAAAAAAACAAACGAAATTATTTCGTTGGAGACGTTAAGGCTATTTCATGTAGTTCACACTACGAAGTCACGAGTTAAAAGATCTAAATGCTAATACTGTAAACAACTTAAACTTCGAAAAAGATGCTTGCAGTCCAAAAAGCTACCATTTCAATGCCGTGTTAGCACGGCGTTGATTGCACGGGATTTATTGGAATTCGATTGGACGTTTTGATTACTCGAATACAGTAATTTATGCAAGAGGCTTTTAATTTATTATGATTGATAGTTAAAACGTAATGCACTTCGTAACATTTTATCGAACTCGAGATTCTATCTCTGGACGGTACTCTGTTACACAGATTGCATCTACAGATCGTTTTGTATATTCCATACGTATAAATTCAAGATCGAAACTTGAAATATTTATTTATTTACTGCAAAGTTTGAATTCCTTTACGAGTGTGTTTCTACATTCGGATTGCATACAATCCACATTCACCTCAACCATCTGCGATGCGCGATTGATCTCGTAGTACTAAGGTCATCATCGAACAAACGCGTAATCAGAGTGACCACAGTGTGGTTGCTACCGATATCCTCAACGTTTCGGCAATAGCAAGTTTTGCAAAGCTTGCTTCGTCCAACCAGTCCTTCAGCAGCTATTTCCACTGCTTTCGAGGAAATCATCCTCTTGTTACCAAGTTCTGATAGGCCTAAGGACTTCATAATTCCAGTGTATTCGCATTGTCTGTTGCATCGACTGACATACTCTACAGGACACCAGACTCTAGTTCCGCTTATCACCTAAAATAAAATATTTGCTATGTTAATCAACATTCAGACAGTCGGTCATACAGTGTAGATGACCTGCTCGCAATCATTCCATATACCAGTCTTGAGGAATTCAACAATTCTGGTCTCAGTCTAGAAGTTTACAATATCGGCTACTACTTTTGTTAGAAGGAAAGCGCGACGTTAAACATTCTGAAAGGGTAAGTAGACATTGAAACTGAAATGCTATAGATATGCCCTCCAGTGAACTTTCTCTTCGTTTACCCAGAAACAGTCCTTTCGTAGAGTACACTGATGAGACCTCAAAGGCTCGACTCTCATATCCGAAGCTCTCTTCTGTCAAGCCCTACATTGCTGCCATGATAATGACTGATGGCTCCGGTGTTTATGGAACGACAGTAAGCAACGTATCATCATGTTCGACTTCAAGTCTCGCAAGAGCGCTGAATCGGCGATTTAGCAGCCTGACTATCGTCTTTCTCTCTTACTTCCACAATCTCGTCAAGATTCGGAGCACACCAGGAGCAAAGAGAAGAGTGCATCAGCGGCAAATAAACACAGACGCACTGCAGTTGCCAGATGCTAGACTACTCATGAACTAGTAGCAATGCGTATTGATCAAATATTTCCATTTATGTTTGCCGAAGACAAGAAAATCGAAACAATTGTCCATGATAGATTCTTGTCCGACTGCTGAGGATCACACAAAGGACAAATATTTCGTAGATACCAGATTTTGGTGCAAATGCAACACGAAATTAAAGGATTACAGACATCCTTTAGTCACAAAAACATCGCACGAAACTCCAGAGTACTACAGGCCAATCCCACTACTGTCAAGCAAAGAGATTCTCGTGCACCGGGTTTCGAAGGCTAGGCTCCATTGTGGACGAGAACCGAAGGTCGAGGACCTTGTGACTGGAAACCGGCAGACTTTGCAGCTTTATTTCCGTACAGACGATGGAATTCAACCTCTTGCAGCAAAACGAGAGTGAGAATCAAACCAACCCAATCCGGGAGAACGAGATTGTGCAAGGTCAAAAGTTGGTCTCACTCAATGGTCTCTTCCTTTTATCCTGCCAGTGTCAAATATCGTCACTCCGAACAAGGTGGGAGAGATAATGCAACGACCACTTAATAATCCTATACCACCCGACCAATGGGCTCTGTTCCAAACCCGCATCTGTCAAATCTATACCGTATGAAATCCACCAGTGGTCCCTCGAGCTTGCTGCTAGACGTGATCGACTCGAAGGAACGCAGATGGGAATGTATCGTCTGGATCTAAGGACGACGAGAGACAAAATTGTGGACGCGCTTCAGGCATTGGCGTTCTCCTTCAGATAGGCGATCAGGTCGGCTCGCTCTTGGGGCTTCTTCAAGCCCGGGAACACCATCTTCGTGCCAGGAATGTACTTCTTCGGGTTGAGCAGATATTCGTACAGAGTCTCGTCGCCCCACACGACGGCCTTGTTTTTGTTGGCGGCAGAGTACGAGTAGCCGGCCGTGGTGCCCGACGTTCGGCCCAGCAGGCCCGACAGATTCGGGCCCTGCTTGTGGCCGGCCGCCTTCTCCACGGCGTGGCACTGGGCGCACTTGGTCTTGAAGATCTTCTCGCCGGCCTTGACGTTGCCTGCGGGCGCTTCAGCGAATGTGGCCATGGTGACGGTGCGTGCTGATCGAGGTCTCGGATCGACTCGGTTTCGATACCGGACGATACCTGCTGCTTCTCGATGGCAAACGAAAGCTTGTCGATCGTTTCAGGTCCAATGCGAGAACCTGATATAATCCAAGCTCGCTCCTAATCGCACCGACGCCTCACTCGCATCGTCATGCACAGGATCAATTCCGGCATTCCTCGGGCCGCAATGCTCATCATCTTCGAGATGCAAGATCGCTGGCGCACCGTGCAGCTACAGAGAAGAGCATCGCATCGCATCGCGTCACATCACGAGGCACTCGCTCGCTCGCTCCAGATCCAGATCCTCGCCACGCCACACAGAGTGGGGAATCTTGTGCACCCGCAGGTTCTTTCTGTCGAACAGAGCAGGTGCCCTTTCCGGTCCTCAAAGTTTGGGACCTGTGAACCTCGAGTTCCATCAGAGCCCTTGAGCGATTGCGGAGAACCACGAGTCATGAGCGCAAAATACTGGCCTACAGTGAAGGCCATCGTGAAGGCCATCGTGGAATCTGCCAACATCGCCAAAATGCTTGCTCATTCCAGGACGGAAGGCCGCAGGACCAAAGCAAGAGGAAAGAGGCCCGAGGGCCAGTGGCCAAGGGCCAAAGCATCTTTGTCAACGCTCCTTCTCTCTGTGAATGCTCAAAGGCACTGCCTCGCCCTGTTTCGTTTCCAGTTGCCAGCGTGAATCCATACGTCCGTCGACAGCCGCAATCTCTCAATCATTCTCTCAGATTCTCGCCAGTACGACTTCTAATCTTCTTATTTTCTCATGGTTTGTGAAATCTTTACCATCATCATGGTTAAGACAAAACAACCTGAGCATTTGAAATTTATCTATATTATTAGGAAGGGCGACCAAGTCGGGAATTCGTCGATTTTTGACCGAGTCTCATGAGAGTGTACCACTGTATTATGTACAGGTAGAACTTTTCCGCCCATGTCATCACCGCATCCGCAAGTAGCTTGCAATTCATGACGATAGATCTGCCAAGAGACGTTCTGAGGACGTTCCCAGTTTGGAGCAAGGGGGTTTCATATCCAGCCAGGTCCGAATTGCTTCAAGACAAATTTGTGAATACGGGTTGAATAAATTCCGTCAACAAAGGTCCAAAACTTGTATGGGAGTGAAACAGACAATAGTAAAGTTTGTCGTCTGCTGAACTATCAGTGCATCCTTCAGATGCATGAGAGCGTACCTACTGTGTGACAGGAGTGAAGACACCGGCAGGGAGGACACCACGCAGTCCCGTTTGATTCGGTTCGTTTCGATTTTCTTGTTTCAATTTTTTCGGTGCTCTTCTTCTTTCTCTGGACGACTTCTTCAAGTCCAATCTACTGCGTACTACATACGGTACTGTATTATTCAGGTTCACAGGCTACCGTAGATTCGATAGTCCGTTGTTTCAACTGCCGTGCCAGTAACTCGGCTCTTCTGTATCTAATGCGAACTACAAAATTTTGCTCGAGACAATGAAAGCTTGTTTCATATTTTTTTGTGGGAAATATGTGAGGATAGAATGAGCTTCCGCCTTCAAAACAATACAAGTAGTCCTTTTGACGCAATTCAGAAGTTCCTCCATCTTCAAACCACACACTTCAAATCTCCTCTATTAAGATAAAAAACTCTGAATTTGAGAAGGCGATCTTAGTACTTTCTTCGAGTAAAAATATTTTCTCAGGTTTGACTTTAAGTTTAGTACGAATTGAAATGCCTGTAAATTTAGCATGAGACAAATCATATTTTGGCTGTGATTTTCACTTATTAAAAGATTTAGAAAGATTTCGAAGATTATGTCGCTGTATATCCCTTCACTTTTATGAAAAAAAAGTTTTATTACAGTACCACTCACGCCACATGGTGTATGGATTGAAAGAATTTCCACACTTTTTCAGAACCAAAATACTTTTATCAACACATGGTCTATGAAATCTCTAGGATCATAAAGGGTAAAAATTACGATGATCTAATTTCTCCATCGGTACAATGTCTTAAAAGCCTATGACGACATGAGCAGATCTTTCGGTTCTAAAGTAATGAAGTTTATATATCAGACTACTATTTTTAGTCCAATGAAGTATAATTCTTGTGATAGGGACGTGATACATATCCACCTTGAAGTCAACTCTTAGCGGAGTCAATTATGTTCCATACACTATAACAGATTGGCTAGATCAGTCAATTATGTTTTCACTTGCAAAAGATGATATGTCCTATCTCTCTTGCAAAAATATCTCATGACTGGAATGTGAAGGAGACATCTTAACTCAAGTGATATGCAATTCGTACTCGATTGTGCTTGAGCTGATCTTATTCTTTTCATTCATAAAACTAGATAAGATAAACTCAATAGATTATAATTCCTAAAACATTTTTCAACTTACAAACTTCTCATTGAGTTTATCATTTATGTTTCCAAAAACTTTGATTTGCTTTCAGAACACTTCAATCTCTAGAATGAGGACATTCAAGACAAGAATGTGAGGATTTCGGGTCTACCTGAATCTGAGAAGGAAGAGGTGAAGAGTGTGGTCACCAAGTTTTTGACTGAAACACTTGATGTTCATAATCCGGATTTGGCTCATGCTTATCGTATTGGCAACAAAGGCGCACAACCTTGTGCCATTATTGTTAAGTTTGTGGATCAAGCTCAACGTGATATGGCTTTAGCTAACAAGGCCATTCTCAAGAGACGGAGGATTTGGTTGGATCCAGATCTTACACCTCTTCAAGTTGAAGCAAGGAGGAAGGAGCTTGCAAAAGTCAAAGAAGCTCAAGATGCAAGTTTTGTAGCTTATCTACGTGATAATCAAGCTATTATCACCCAGAGGAGGAGACAATCATCAAACTAGCAATCCAAGAGATTGAGGGTGTTGATGTGGAACATAAGAGGCCTATCTACAACTAAGTATGTGAGTGCACATCCAATTTGGAAGATGGCGGACATACTCAACATTGTTGAGACTTGGGAGCATGAAAGTAATGTTATTGGAGAGATACAAGGATTTACTCTGGTGTGATCTACTAGGAACCATAGAAATCGACGAGCAGGAAGAGGCTTTGGTGGCATTGCTACTTTCATCAGATCTGAACTTCTTCCTATGATACATTTGGAAAGCCAAGATATTGGGAAACAATATCATTGGTTTCGTCTTGGATTGATTGGAGGATCTTACAGTTATTTGGCAGTTTGTTACTTTGCACAATTATCCATGCAGATCTACTCCACAAGCACTTGCAATCGAAGTCAACCATTCCATCGGCTCATAGGAGATATTCTCAAATATCAAGACAAAGGTGAAGTTTTTCTTGTTGGAGACTTCAATGCCCGCATATTTTCCGCTCAATTTACACAATTTAATAGTTCCTTGTATTCTCACTCTTTTGAAGAAAGTAGAGATAGTTTGTGGTCTAGAGTCTCTTGTGATTCTTGTACAAATGATTTGACTGAGCATTTCTTGATTTTTTGAGCCACTTGTAATCTGAAAGTTCTCAATGGTGTTTCTTTCTTTCCCAACTCTCACTCCAATACATGTTTTTCCTCTACAGGTGTTAGCACTATAGATTATCTTTTGTCCTTTGCCACTAATAGTTCATTTATCTCAGCGTTTGATATTCTAGAGCCTCAACCAGAATCAGATCATACACCTCTTTTATTTACTCTTTTGTTGTCAACGTCAATACCTCTCCCTACATGTCACTATGTTTCTACTTGCCCCAAGTTTTGTTTAGATGCTAGTAAGAAGCAACTTTATAGTGAACATTTCCAAGACCTTTTGACTTGTACTACTTGGAGCCTTGATCCACATAAATCTAGTTTGCAACTAACTGAGTTGCTCCAAAACTCTGCTTCTAAGTTCTTTTTGAGACATAAGACCAGGAGAGCTAGAGGTCTTCCTTGCAATGGATGGTTTGACTTTGATTGCAAGCAAGCGAGGGCGAGATCACTTGATAAATCCTTGGATCTTCACAATCGGTTGATTATGACAAGACTTTACAAAGACTTGGTGAAGTCCAAGAAACGAGCATTTTTGAGGCAGAAGCAAGAGTGATTGACAAAGGAGCTCTTGGAGAATCCCAAATCCTTTTGGAGGCGGTTGGCAGTACGATCTTCTAAACCTACTCTTGATCCCAAGTCTTTGATTTCTTTTGCTGAAAAGCTTTATTTTTTCCCAATGTTGCATGTCGTGCGAATACATATCGCCATACACTCTACATCGCTGACATGCTACTCACATACACATACGCACACACATACACACATATAAGGCGCGAGAGAGTACACACTCAAATGTCACAACTGAAAAAAAAATAAAAATTGTCACAACTGAAATGAACGGGAGATTCCCCACTGGAATTCCCGTCGGTCAATTACCCTACTGGCAACAAACCGTCACCGTCACAAACATGAGTCAAGCCCAACCCACTCCACACTCGGAGAATCCAGGTCGACGCAAAGGGGAAAGTCACTCTACGCTCCCAACGCTTCCAGGCTCGACTCGAAGAACTAACGTTCTTCGAGCCGTCCACGACTCTATACCCCTCCTGGCCGGAACCCTAACTTTACGGCTAAATATAGTAAGTGTCTGAACTTCGTGAGCCGACTCGTAACTACATGACAGCTGTCGTGCGAATACATATCGCCATACACTCTACATCGCTGACATGCTACTCACATACACATACGCACACACATACACACATATAAGGCGCGAGAGAGTACACACTCAAATGTCACAACTCGCCCCCCTAGCTGGCGGTCAGGTCCCTCTGACTCCCAGGTAGCCCCATCTACAACTACATGCTATACACCTTCGTGGGTGCGCGAACCAGTAGGCCGGGTGCTATGTCGCCCCATCGTTAGTCGCCTATCTGCAATTCATAACATGTGAAGATCAAGTCATCTACCCCTATGAAGTACATCGAGGACAAACCCATCGTCCAGCCGGAATAACATCGATAGGCGGAGTTAGGCACGACATGTGCCATCCCCTAGAGCACCTATCACACACCAACATACGGGCCGCCTGACCAGCCGACCCACACAGCATGCACCTCAAGCTAGCACGTACTATCGCTAAGCTTGGGTCCATAGTGCCATCTACGTTTGGGAGGTGGCATGGCGCACAATTGCGCACATGATCCTTCCAAACAACGCCGTCACGACCCTCCAACAGGAGAACTCCAGAAGGTAACACCTCCCGCACCCGCAAGATGGTGCGTCCCGCCGTCACATCCAATGTCGTCGGTGCAGTCTGCTGTAGATAGACGTAGTCTCCCACATGGAATCTACGAATTGATGGTCGATAACCTCCTCCCCGAATGGTTGCATACCGCAACGTATCTCTATGTTGAGCAATCGCAAGATTCTCAAACGCTGCAGGCATAACTCTTCGAAAGAGCTCTGCACGTTGAGAACATACTCTCACCCACATATTCGGGTCATCAAGGTTCACCACCTCGCTAGACTCACGACGAATCGATGTTGGCAAGTCTGGATCTCGGCCGTACAATAGAAAATATGGTGAGAAGGAAGCCAAGGATGCCTGCCGACTGAACCGATATCCCATGGCCAACCACGGTAACTGGATATCCCAGTCCCCAAGATGACCTTTCTGCAGGCCATACTTGCGCAACGCCCTCTTCACCGTCTGTACAACAC